GGTGGGGGGGTACCTGACAAAAGAAAGGAAAGGCAGTGCTACAATATGTCCCCAAATAGTATCATGGTATTCATACATTAATAACTGAAAACAGGTAGGTGGAGTTCATAGGGGTTGGAATGTGATGACATAGTAGAGTTCTCAGAACTATAAAAACAGATCAATTTTGTTGCCAGCAACCAAAGATATCAAAGGACATATTAAGAGAGCTGCATCATCCCTGCTGTCCCAGATAGCTGCTTGTTTTGCCACATAGCTGGTCACTGGTTCACGTGAAGACAGCATTGCTGGTTAGTAGTGGCTCCATCCATCTTTGCTGTATACTCTAAGCAATATGTCTAAATATACCTATCACAATTCATCACTGACCTATCTAAATGTACATATCTGTGGCTATAAATACATTCACAGTGCCGTGGAGGAGCCACCACTGCCCATGTTCACCCAACAGAAATGCTGTCCTCATTAAATGTTATCTCCCATTTCTGACTATCCCAGCTCCTAGTAACCACCCTTTTGCTTTCTGTCTCTGTGGGGTTGACCACACCAGGGATCTTCTTAGTGCAATCACAGTGTTTGATCTTCTGTGGTGATGTTATTATAGTTCTGATGTGATGTGACCCCCAAAAGGCTCGTGTATTAAATATTTGGTCCCTATCTGGTGACAGTGTTGTGGGAGGTTCTTAATACTTAGGACACAGCCAGCAGTAGGTACCAGTGTACATGCCTTTAAAGATTTTACCTTGTCCCCGGTCCCTTCTGTTTCTGATACCTGTCCTTTATGAGGTTAGTAGCATCTGTCACCTGCTCTCATCATAGAGATATCTGGCTTTAGCTCTGGTGGAATTCACAAAGCCAAGGACAAAAGACTCAAATCTCTGAAATCTGACCCAAACTTAATAATTCCCTTTTAAGTTGTTCTTTCAAGTATTTTTGATCACAGCTAAGGAAAGTTGGGTAACACTGAATATTTGAGTCATGGTGGCTCAGTTTAATGATTTATTTCTCAACATCACAATAATGTGAAAGTCAGAACAAGCTCTGTAGAAACTACGATTTGAATTTTGAGTGGAGACCTTCATCCAGGCTAGTGATATGTAGTATGATCTATTCTCTGTCATTATGCCATGCATTAGCAGCATTCTCTGTCTCCATGCCTTTGTCTCTGTGTCTTTCTGTGTCATTCCTGTCTCACGCTGTTGCTACATTCTTTGCTTTATGTTCTCTATCTGTATTTGAGTAAATGGTCAGGAAATGTGGCCCCAAAGACCAGCTGTCTCGATCCTTCTACTCACAGAGCCTGCGTTCATGAAGGGCTACAAGTGGCAGACCTTTTGATTTATGCATGCATATTGTCAAGCCTAGAAAGACTCATGTGCTCTCAATATACAGCAGGTAGTACATCAGCATGTTTTTGTAATATTGACATCTTGTAGAGGATCTACACTCCTCATTGTCAGTCCATGTACATACACACCTGTGTCTATGTTTACATATATTGATATGTGAGAGTGTGGCTGTCTGTCTCTGTGTGTGTTTATGTGTAAATAAATCCTGTTTATATGCAATGTTTCGGTGTGTGACTTTGTCTCTGCTGTTGTGTGTAAATGCATGCATACATATGTATGTATGTATGTGTTTTGTTCAGCTCTCATTATGACATTGGACCAATTCCATGAATGCTTTCTTTGACCCCACTTCTGCCTCCTTGAGTGATTCTCTGTGACACAATCAAGATACATGTGCAACTTGGGCATTCCAAACACTTGGAAAAGACCTCTGATGGGAGATGCCATTATGTATATATGTTTCTCGTACTGGTTAATAATAAAGCACTGTTGGCCAATAGGAAAGGAAGATAAGGAGGGACTAGGAGACAAGGAGGAAATAGGAAGTAGTAAGGAGGAGTCAAGATGGAGAGCCTGGAGAAAATAGAACCACCAGCCGCCTCTCCCTGGTAAGACCATGTGGAAATACATAGAAATGGGTTAATAATTAAGATAGAGCTAGCCGATAAGAAACTAGCACCTGGCCAACAACATAATATCAAATACAGAGTCTCTGTGTGTTATTCGGGACAAGAGTGGAGGCGGGCAGAAAAACCTGTACTCCTTACAGACCTCTCCCATAAAAGTTCTTCCTAGACATAAAAAAAAAAAAAAAAAAAAAAAACAAAACAGAATTCCTCTTACTTTTTTTGTGATATCATCTTTCACACTAGCATGTTCTTATCAGCTCTCCTGGTTCTTTTACCACATCCCCCTACTCACACATGGGGTGCAGGGTGGTATTCCTTCTTCTGCTTCTGTGGACTGCCTGTACTCCCTCACTTTTCTTTCCCTCATAAGTGGAGCATTTTATTCTTTTAGAGTTCTGGCAGTAGGAATGTGCCTAGAACAAAGAGCTAGTTTCTTGAATCTGTTGATGCCAATTGAAGACAATATGACTTCTCTTGTGGGGGTTTTTACACTAGGGATAGAGTGTGCAGTCCTTCATTTCACCTGCCCCTCAACAGCAAAGGCAGCTCAGAAATTTAATTCAAGCTTTACTGTTCATTGTCTTCTAACTACCAGTCTCATAATGCAACATGGTACCCAGGTGCAGTTCAGAGCTCGAGGACCACTACTGTAAGTCCAGTCTATATCATAATGAATTTGAGGTCAGTCCACCAGTTTAAGTACAGTCTGGGCTACATACCGAGTTTGAAGGCAGCATGGTCTATATGATAAGGTCATAACTCAGATCAAGCAAACCATAGCAAAAAAAAATGATTTCCTTACTCTGAGGGTAGTGGCATATGGCTTTAATCACAGCACTTGGGAGGCAGAGGCAGGTAATCTATGTGAGTTCAGGCCCAGGTCTACATAGAATGTTCCTGTACAACCAGAGCTACATAGGAAGATCCTGTTTAGAAAAAAATTGTCTTCCTGGACTTCTTTAAACCCCTTTCAAGACCCTGTCTCAAAATGTAAATTATGTAGCAATATAATATGAACTCAGGGGAAGAGTGCTTGCCCAGTATATGTAAGTTTCAATCTCCTCTGCCAAAAAAAAGTTTGTTCAGGACTATCCATTCAAAGATAACAATAATAATTAATATGGTTCCTACCAGGATTGTTTTGACAATTATATATGATTTTAGGAACCAGTCTGCCACACTCTTTCACATTGTGCTCCTGTCCATGATACTGCCACTAGAACCTTAGAATCCTGTGATCTCCATAGACTAAACTGAATTACTTCTCCCACTTACTCTTCATTCTTCTGAACTTTCATCTGCCATTTATCGGTCCTTAAGGTTGTTAGACTGTGCATTTTGACCTCCCCATCTAGGGCAGGTCTCAGGCACATGGTGACATACTCTCTCCCAGTTTATCACATTTGGACTCCTTTCTCCTTTTGGTTGTTAGGAGAAGTCCCCTTCAATAATATTTTCCACCACCACCTGACTGTGATGTGGCTGCATCTCTCCACCATCTGCTCCACTGGAACATCCTGATCCACTTTGATGCATCTTTCCACGCTGGCTAAAGCTCAGACTGTCTTTAGTAGCTGCCACAGAGGAGTCATGAGAGAAATGCAAACTATGGACCAAACAGTGAGTGAGTGTCACCTCTCAATGCTGCTTTTTCAATATTTTAAGATTTACTTATTTTAATGTGTGTGTGTGTGTGTGTGTGTGTGTGTGTGTGTGTGTGTGTGTGTGTGTGAGTGAGTGCAAGGAGGACAGAAGAGGAATCAGATCTTCTGGAACTGGAGTTACAGACAATTATGAATTACCATGTTGGTACCAGGGACTGAATCTGGGTCCTTTGCAAGAGTATTAGGTGTTCTTTACTGCTGAGCTATTTCTCTAGCCCCTAAATGATGCTTCGTAGGCAATGAAAATAGAGATGCCTTCATATTTTTGTTTCCAGGAGTTACATTATACTCAGTAGAAGATAGTTGGCTCCAAGAAATTGATTTCTTTTGGATCCCATCTAACAGTTCGCTTCTCACGTTTTCTTTTTGTGCCAATAAAGGCCTGAAAATAAAGGGAGGTTGATGTAAACCATTTATCCAGCACACACAAGTACCTGAGTTCTAACAGCATCACTTCAAAAACAACAGCCACAAAACAATACTATAAAACCTAACACAACCCAGGCATAGTGGCACATGCCTATAATCCAAATATTCAGGAATCTGAGACACCTGAATTTCCTGGAGTATGAAACCAGCCTGGGCCACATAATGAGCTAAAGAAAATCCTTGTATGTTGTGAGACTGTGTCTCAAAAAAATTAATTATAAAAAGAGAAAATTAAAGAAAAACAGCAAAATATCTAAATAACAAACATTCAAAACTATGACAGTATAAAAGCACTAAAAATGCTTGGTGGTTTCTATGAATTTTAGATTTGCTTCCTGGTGAACATTTTCTTAGGCTCCAAATTGTCCTCTCTTTTGATATGTGGCAAATATTCCAGTAGATTAATTTGCTTCAAGGTAATGTACACTGAACCGTAAACTGTATGTGTTTCCTAGAATCAATTAATTTTCTGTTTCTTTTCTCATTAACTATTTAATTAATGATTTCTTCATTATTTATTGATTTTTCTATATTAGTTTTTTTGGTGCGCAGTCTCACTATGAAGCTCTGGCTGGCTTGGAACTTGAGATATAGATTATGCTGGCTTGACACACCCCTAATATTACAAATTGGTCATCATCTTTGTGGCTGAATATCTATATCCAAACCTCATTGTGTATCTGGACCAACAGTCAGAAATAAAACTATTAGAATTCATTGTCAAGCCATTGTAAATATCCCCCAATGGCTCTTCACTTAATTTGCTTAGAGTACATTCCCAATAGCAATTTCCCAGAACAAAGGCCAGTTTTCTAAAACATAAACAATTAATGCCTCCTGTTAATAATCATCCAATAGACAGTATACCAGGTTTGAGGAGCCTGTCCTTATGTTGTCTTGTATTTCTTTGCAGTTGTTCAATGTTCACTGTCATGATGATACTGCTCGACAAAGGTTTCAATTACCAGGTAGGAGGTTTTGCTTTGTCCACCATAGCATGGATTCTTTGCATTACCTCCATGGGTCTCCCGCAGTGGCGAGTGTGGTACATGAAGGAACCCATGATCTCTTACCCTAGTGTGGCCTTTGTGGGAGTGTGGAAAATCTGCATCTACCACCATGACAACTCCAGCAATATTAGAACATGTTACAAATACAGCTACTATGACACCTTCGTCCCTTTGGATATTCGTATTTCTCAACACTTACTGCTGATCACCAGCATTTTCTGGATGATTGGAAAAGCGGCCACCATTGTTGCTCTTAGAAATATGTACACAGGAAGACAAGAGCAGAATGTTACCCATAATGCCTTTGGCCTTGCAGCAATTCTGAACATCATTGCCAGTAGCTTTGTCTTCCTGGCTGTCTTGTGCAATTATTTCTCCGTTGTAAACAAGGAGGGGATTGCCTTTCCATCCTCTTTCCATATGCCCCTTTATCCACAAAGTCAGAAAGCTGGGGCTGCCATGGGTATGGCATTTCTAGCAGCTGTCCTGTTTTTGTTCAGTGGTGTGATTTTTATTTCTTACACGGTTCCCTTAAGCATCCAAGTCTTTCCTGATATCTGAAAATGAATTTACTTCACCTTGAAAAATCCAAAATTCCCTGTGGTTATGGCAAGGATTTTGGAGATGTCTACCTAAAGTCCTAAAGTTTCCAAAGACTCAACAATGCTCAAATAGCCTGTGACAGAAAATGGTTCAATGGCTCCTTTTGTTATCTTTTCTGTCTTATTTGTTTCATTACTTCATTGGTTGGATTATGGACTTCTATTAAAATTTTTCTTTTTAAAAAAACTTACCCACTTACCAATTTGTTTTATGAAATTTGGGTTTTAATTAATGTCAATGAAGGAAATGATAAATAAACCTAATACATATGAAAATGAGTGTAAGAGCATGTTAACCTCTCTCATTGCTGTCTGATTCTACATACCTGCCATATGAAGCTTTCCAAATGTGTTCAATTTGACATATCATTGGAAGAAATCTCCCCAGTATATTATAAGACTCAATGGCCTGGAGATGTCTATATTTCCTTTAATAAACAATCATTGTCTCCTTATCCGACCTAACAGCCCTCGTGACTATCATACAAAATCTCTTGAGTCATATTGAAAGACTACTATGTACCACTAACTCAGAAGCTAATAATATCATCAGATTACATATGAAATGTATAGACGAGATTTCTCCACTTTGATGTAACTCTACCTAATGTTCACAAGAGTTCATTGAAGGATGCCTTGGATTATGACTTTATTTTGTTCCATAGCCATTAAAAACTTCATCTACGATAAACAAATATCCCTTCACTCATTCATTTCTGGTCCTGCATAGCTGCCCATTCCTCTCCTAGGTAGGGTTATCGTGTCTAAATTACAGGCCCATTTAAATCTTTTTGACAATCCAGTGATTGTTATGAATTCTTGTCCTGCAATGCTCTGTCCTGTAATGGATTATAGTTAACTGTGGCCTCAAAACCACACTGTCCCCGTAGTCTCTGGTACAGAACCCTATACCATCCAAAAAGAGTCCTCCTAAATGCTAGAATACCTCTATTCCTGAGCATTCATTAACAGCCATTTTGTCACAGATACTATTACAGACCCTAGTTTCCCTGAAGACCCCAATACCCTTAAAGTCCCAAGGCATTAAAAAGCTTATTGCTGCTCACTGATTAACTCTTGGCTACTGAGCTACTGAGTCCCTTTAGCTCTATACAACACCCCTTCCATAATATTTTGTTTCGAGGCAGATGGATTCTACAGTAGAGCTTAGGATCTAAGGGCACTGGTTCTAATCCACCCTGTGTTTTCCAATCTTTGCACCTTCTTGGGGGCAGATACACTCCAATACCTCCTTGTTCACGATGTTAGACACTGAGGATGCTTTCATGTAGATTTCTGTCTATGCAGATTCTCAACTCCTATTTGTCTCCATCTAATTTACTCAACAGCATTCCTGGTCTGTGTTACACTGGGGTTTTTGTAGCACCCCCAACTCTTGGATAGAACTTAGGCTAATACTTGTCTTAGTTAACTTTCTCAACTCGACAGAACCTAGAGTCATCAGAGAGGTAAGCTTCCGGTTAGCAACTGCCTAGATCAGATTGTCACGTAGACATGTCTGTGGGAGGTTATCTTATTAATTGATTCAGGACATCCCAGACTTTTTTGAGTGGCACTGTCCCTAAGCAAGTGGATCTGGACTGTATGAGAAAGCTAGCAGAGTGAGCCAGCAACCAGTACTCCATGTTCCTCCATGGTTCTTGCCTTCCAGGTTTCAACCTTGAGTTCCTGGCTTGACTTCATGCCCTAACTTCCCTTGAAGATGGATTGTGACTTAGACATATAAGCCAAATAATAGATTCTCTCCCAAAACTGCTTTTGGTCAGGTTTTATTGCCAAAACAAAATGAAACTAAACTATCTGTTCCTTGATAAATTTCTCCCTGGGAGTAACTTCCTTCAGTACATGGATGATTATCTATCTACAGGCTGAGAAAAATTATTTTAGGTCAAAATACTCTTCCAACTGTTAAAGGGAAGTCTGAACCCATGAAAACTCTCCATAACCAATTGGGAAGGCAATGAATGCGAGATATTTGATCATAAGGGGCAGATGGGGGTACATGGTACTAATTAAAGTAACAACTCAAGTTAAAGTAGGTTGTCCTTGGAGTCCCTCATTGAACACTGAGAATGGTTGATGCAAAACAAAGACCTCACCTCTAAGAAAATAAAAGAGAGTTTATTTTGGATACAAAATGAGCTACATTTCCATTTTCTCCCTTTTTATGTATTTATTTTTCTAATTTTACATATTGATCCCAGTTTCCTCTCCATCTCTCCCTCCCTCTCTTAGTGGTTCCTCAGGAAAATGGGAATTAATTTACCACAGGACCAGGCAATCCCCCTCTTAGGCATATACCCAAAAGATCCACATCCATGCAACAAAGACATCTGTTCAACTATGTTCATAGCAGCATTATTTGTAATAGCAAGAACCTGGAAGCAAGCTAGATGTCCCTCACCTGAAGAATGGATAAAAAAGATGTGGCACATTTACACTATGGAGCTACATTTCTTTTTTGTTGTTGTTTATTTGTTTGTTTGTTTGTTTTTTGTATTATTTCTTTGTGATTATTGCTATTTCTTATCATATTTTAATGATAAATAAACCTTATTTTCTTTTTTAAGTTATTATTATTTTTTTATTTTACATGTCGATCCCAGTTACCCCTCCCTCCCTCTTAGGCTCTCTCCCCCCTCACATGCACCCTGACCACACTCCCCTCCCATCCCTCCAACCCAATTCGACATGTAGGGCAATGCAATACAGGTGAGGTCATGTATATCTGTCAAGTAACTTGAAATAGGGACTAGGGCTTCTCTCCTGTCTCTAGCTGAGACCCATATGTAGGGGGTCTGAGTCCGTCCCATGCTGGATTCACAGCTATCAGACTGGGGGCACATAAGCTCCTCCTTGTTTGGGTCAGCTGTCTTTATGTGTTTCTGCAACTTGGTCTTGTCCTATCCCTCTTCATCTGGATTCTAGTTTGACTCAGTGTTTAGTTACCGGTGTTTGCTTCTGTTTCCAACAGGTACTACATGAGGGTTCCATAATGGTGGAAGAGTTGGTTGTTGATCTCACTATTTGGGAAGGGCATTTATGTTAGCCTTTCCAGGGTTGTTCAAATTTTTAGTTGGTGTCAATCTTGTAGGTCTCTAGACCTTTCTATATGTTCAGCTTTCTCTTCAAACCAATAATGGCTCCCTCTTTTATGTTTGTTCTTTCTCTCTCTCTCTCTCTCTCTCTCTCTCTCTCTCTCTCTCTCTCTCTCTCTCCTGCCTTCTATTCCTACCCTGATTCAATCTCCCTAGTCGCATATGCTTTCCTCTCCTCCCCTTCTATTTCTCCTACTTCTCTCTCCATTGACTGCCGCCACACTTCCCATGTGCTCTGGGGGACTTGTCCCTTCCCCCTTATGTGAGGGACTTTATATGAATCTCTTAGAATACACCTTGTATCCTAATTCCTCTGGTGGTGTGAATTATAGGCTGATGATCCTTTGCTCTAGGTCTAAAATCCATACATGAGTGAGTACATAACATGTTCCTCTTTTTGTGACTGGGTTACCTCATTCAGGATGGTTTCTTCAAGTGCCATCCACTTGCCTGCGAATTTCAAGATACCATTACTTTTTTCTGCAGAGTAGTATTCCATTGTGTAGATGTGCCACATCTTCTTTACCCATTCTTCAATTGAGGGGCATCTAGGTTGCTTCCAAGTTCTTGATATTACAAATAATGCTGCTATGAACATAGTTGAACAGATGTCTTTGTTTCATGGATGTGGATCATTTGGGTATATGCCTAAGAGGGGGGATTGCCAGGTCCTGTGGTAAACTAATTCCCATTTTCCTGAGGAACCACCATACTGATCTCCAAAATGGCTGTACGAATTTGCACTCCCTCCAGCAGTGGATGAGTGTTCCCCTTTCTCCACATCCTCTCCAGCATAAGTTGTCATTGATGTTTCTAATTTTAGCCATTCTGGCAGGAGTAAGATGGTATCTCAAAGTTGTTTTGACTTGCATTTCCTTGATAGCTAAGGATGTTGAGCACTTTCTTTAGTGTCTTTCAGCCTTTTTGATTTCCTCTATTGAGAATTCTTTCTTCAGTTCTGTACCCTATTTGAATAGGGTTATTTGGTGTTTTGTTGACTAGTTTCTTGAGTTCTTTGTATATTTTGGAGATCAGCCCTTTGTCAGATGTAGGATTAGTGAAAATCTTTTCCCAGTCTGTGGGCTGCCATTTGGTCTTGTTGACTGTGTCTTTTGCCTTACAGAAGCTTCTAAGTTTGAGGAGGTCTCATTTACTAGTTTTTTATCTCAGTGTCTGTGCTCCTGGAGTTATGTTCAGGAAGCAGTCTCCTATACCATTTAGTTCAAGGGTACCTCCTAATTTCTCTTCTAAGAGGTTCAGTGTGGCTGGATTTATGTTGGGGTCTTTGATCCATTTGGATTTGAGATTTTTGCATGTTGACAGACATGGGTCTATCTGCAGTCTTCCACACACCATCATTCATTTCTACCAGCACCAGTTGTTGAAGATGCTTTCCTCCCCCCCCCCATTGTATTCTTTTAGCTGTTTTGTCGAAAATCAGGTGATCATAGGTGTGTGGGTTTATATCAGGATTTTCGATTCAATTCCATTGGTCTACCTGCCTATTTTTTTGTGCCAATACCAGGCTGTTTTCAGAACTATAGCTCTATAGTAGAGCTTAAAGTCAGGGATGGTAATGCCTCATGAAGTTCTTTTATTGTACATGGTTGTTCTGGCTTTCCTGGGTCTTTTGTTTTTTCATATAAAGTTGATTATTATCCTTTCAAGGTCAGTGAAGAATTGTGCTGGGATTTTAATGGGGATTGCAATGAATCTGTAGATTGCTTTTGGCAAGAGTGCCATTTTTACTATATTTATCCTACCTATCCGAGAACATGGGAGATATTTCCATTTTCGGCTATCTTCTTTAATTTCTTTCTTTAGAGCCACAAAGTTCTTATTATATAGGTCTTTCACTTGTTTGGTAAGCGTTACTCCAAGATATTTATGTTGTTTGTGGCTATAGTAAATGGTGGTGCTTCTCTGATTTCTTCTCAGGCTCTTTGTCGTCTGAAAAAAAGTAGGGCTACTGATTTTTATTTTTTGAGTTTATCTTGTATCCTGCTAGTTTGCTGAAGGTGTTTATCAGCTGTAAGAGTCCCCTGGTAG